AGAGAAAATAGTGCAACAATGAGTGAATGAAAATCCAAAATCTCTGTAAATGTTACTTAAAATTAATAAAATTTAATAATAATAATAATAAAAAGAATGCAAAAGATCATTACAAAGACAGAGGAGGAAGAAAAGACCAAATGAATGTCAGAAAAGACTCTGAATATTGAAATAGAGCACTCAGAAGACAATGGAACGGGAAGAATCAAGAAGAAAATCATTATAATGAAATATGCAAAGAGCTACAGCCAGAGAATCAAAAGGTATGAACTCGTTCAGCATTTTTTTTAGATTTCTTTTTTATTAAATTGTGATTTGAGTGAATGCTACTATTCACATTTTACAACATTAATTGCAATACTTGCTATGTAATAGCACTCTTCCCACTTCTTTCCATAATTCTTATTTCCATTAATCCTTCAATCATTCCCAAATCTGCCTTCAGGGTTTTATCCTTGGACAAACATTGATCTTGCTCATTGGTTACTCTAAAGTGTGTGTTCATCTGGTGTTAATGGTCACCCTGTAGTCCTATTATTTGGTTGAAAATTGAGCTAATGTGTTGAATTTTGTTCCAGGTTTGAAAGATGATGAAGGGTCACAATCTTCATGGTTCCACCCGCCACTTTTGGACCAAGGAGCTCTAGTGGCTTAGTGTATAAAGAATTGCACTTCCAACTCAAAGGCACCTGGTTCGAATCCACCTGCTGCTCCACTAGGGAAAAATGCCATTTATTGCCTCAGAAAATCCACTGGATGGTCAGCTAAGAGTCTGTTCCAGCTCAAGGGTACTTAACAACAACAGCCTTTGGAACTGTGAAAAAAATAAATTTCTGTTCTTTAAAGGCACCCACTTGTGATATTTCTGTTACAGCAACTAGGAAAGAAAGACAGCTCTTAGCATCATCTCTGTATGCTACATAGTTTACTTATTTTACTTATGTTTTCTGCTTCTCCATGTAGCATGTAAGTTCCACCAGAGATGTGACTCTGCTGTTGCTCACTGATGCATGAGAGCCTGTTTGACAAATATTTACTGAATATATGGTGATGAGCACAGCTGGTGATGGTCATGTTCACTGGAACCTGAGTTGACATTCTTCCTATCATAATCTTCTTCTCACCAGTGTCAAGAGGAAAAGCTGAATCATAGACATACTTTGCTTCTCATAATTAATTTTCTGTAAGACCTGGAAGCACATCTTCTCGTCTGTAAACATGCACTATTTCCCTTGCATTCTTTAGTTGTTTGTGGCTTAAGAGTATATTCCTGGGTTCTGTCACAGTGAAGAAATGACTGGCTTGTCCAACAAAAGTACTTTGGTCCCACTGAGGTTCTTTAATAGTGATGTTGGTGTCAGTTCTCCTGACATCGTTCTAGATGAATTCCTGGGCCACTGCCCACGCTATTCGCAGGTCCCACTCCTCATTCAACATTTCTTAAGCTGAAGGAACTGAAGAACAAGTTCAAGCCTCAAGTTGCCGTACTACTGGACTCTATAGACAGTATATAGAATGATTCAAGAAGCATTAAAAGAAGATGGAAAGAGAACACAGAGTTACTATACCAGAAAGAATTGGCTGACACAGAAGAATTTCAGAAACAACATAAGATCAAGAAGCAATGGTGAAAAAAGAAGCAATAGTGATGAAGGAAGGAAGTTCAAGTTGCTCTGAAGGACTTGGCAAAAAACAAGGCACCAGGAATTGATGGCATACCAAATGACATATTTCAACAAACAGATGGTTTGTTGTGCCGAGAAATTTGGAGAACTACTACCTGGCCAATCCATATTTATTCCTATCCCCAAAAAAGGTTACCCAACAGAGTGTGGAAATTATCAAGCAATATCACTAACATCATACCCAAGCAATGTCAGATGGATCTTGGCTGAAAGCAAAGAGTATGAGAGAAATGTCCATCTGAGGTTTCACTAAGCAAAGGCATTTGACTGTGTAGATCACAACCAATTGTCACTAACTTTGAGAAGAACGGGAATCTTAGAACATTTGATTGTGCTCATGTAAAACTTATACCGGAACTAGGAAGACGTCATCAAACAAAGCAACAAACACTGCATCGTTCAAAATCAGGAAGGGAGTGTGTCAGTAATGCATCTTGTCTCCATACCTTTCCAATCTCTGTGCAGAATAGATCATTAAGGAGGCTGGACTTCATGAGGAGTATGGCTTTAGAATTGGAGGAAGACTAACCAACAACCTGTATTATGCAGACAGCACAACCTTGCTTGCCAAAAACTGAGAAGGACCTGAAGAAGGCTGCAGAGGGTGAAATCAAATTTCTCCCTGGCACGGATTTTGAAGGTCAATCCCACATACTTTGGGCACAAAGCCAGGAAGGACTGGCTCTTGGAAAAGGACATCATGTTTGGAATGGTGGACGGTCAGCGCAGGAGAGGACGTCCCCAGATGATGGATTGACATGGTCTCTGGGCTAATGGGGTTAGATGTGTTGGAGTCAATGTATTGAAATCAGTGAGACTGGCAGGCTTCAGAGCTATTGTAGAATAGAGTAGCTGTGAGTTGAGGGCACTGGATGGCACATAACAACAGGGACAAAGTCGTATGGGCATCTTGGGTAGATTAGAGGGTCATGACCTTCGGTTTAGCGCCACAACTACCTATGGACTATGGCATCATCTTCATTTTATAGAAAATGTAGGCCTGTATCTACAAGTGTAATGCTGTTAATTTCCAAAATGTACTTGATCCTGTCCTTACTTGGTTTAATCAGGCGCCTAGCAGACTAAGTGGCAATTAATAACATTAATAAGTCACCAATAACCATACTCAAACTCTGCCTAACGGCGAAGAACCTCACCTCCCGAAGAGCTTCTCGTTTCCATGGAGATTGTTGTGAGGTGGGACTTCCTGCCTTACGTAAACACACTTCCGCTTCGAGCCGGAAACGCTTCTATGTTCGTTCCGACTCTCCCTCGTGGACTTCTGGAGAGTTGTGAGTAGCGGAAGTAGAGCTGTTAAGAGTCAAAGCGCGAGTCGACTGGACACAGGCAGCTGGACTGGGGCGGCGATGCTGACTCCTGCGTTCGACCTCAGTCAGGACCCATGCTTTCTGACCGTCGCCATTCGTGTGCCTTATGCCCGAGTCTCCGAGTTTGATGTCTACTTCGAGGGGGTAGACTTCAGGTTCTACGCCAAACCGTACTTTCTCAGGTGAATCCAGTGTTCTTAGCAGTAGGAAAAGCGAATTGTGGAAATCCGGTCCTTCACTATTTTTGAGGGAGGGTGGTAGGAAGAGGGAGCGGTGGAACGCAGCTCTGGTTGCCGCACACTTTTAAATTGACTACCGTGCTTAGAAACACATTTTCCCGCCCGCTCCCCCCCCCCCCATGTATTACCGTCATTTGTGGCAGCGTGTTATTCCAAAAAACTCATTTCTAACGTAAATTTTCCTTCTGTAATCATAAGCATACTGTTATTAATCACTCCATGTCTCTTTAAGTTTTTACTTCACAGGATCAAGAAGATGGCCTTATTCCGCCGTGAGGTGGAAGCGATTTCTTTAAGGCATGCATTGTTCTAGAGGCTGCAGAAACCTTTGCCCTCCTATGTCCCTTCAATATTTAGATTTCAGAACAGCTTTATGCCTTAGTCACTTATTTATTTTTTTTATTCTTTTTAATTATTCTTATCTTTTTTTATTTTTTATTAATTTTAATAGACATTAAAGAGGTTTTGGATTTCCATTCATTCATTAGTCACCATCCTTAATATACTCAACCTCTGCTACTGATCCGTTTTGCGAGGGGGTGTGTGCCTCATTCCTTTTCGCTAGACCGCCACCTTTCTGAGCAACATGTCATTTTCCAAAGACTAGACAAAGTTTAGTTTTCCTTGCCTTAAAGAAAGGAGCACCCTGGTTGCTTTCTCCAAGGCATATTCTTTTTTGTTATAATTATTAATTTTAATTAAAGTTTACAGAGACTTTAGATTTCCATTCATTAATTGTTGTACTTTTCTCCCTGCCTACCCCTCCCCTCTAGTTCGCTCTTCTCTTTGGGAAAGTAAAAGAAAAATTCTTTCGTTGTTATACAATCCCTCCACTATGCAGCCGTCGTTTTGGATTCATGTCATGATAATAACACCTAATTATGGATCGCTTTTAAACATTTCTCTTCCTCATCTGTTTCAATGCAGTATACATAATTTATTCCGTCTTTCTGAGTCTTCTGTTAGGTTAGGTTGGGTTAGTGGAGTTAAAGAAGAAATCAGAGAGAACAAGAGAAAGCTTACTGCAGCTTTATTAAAGGGGGGAAAGGGGAGCTCCCGGGTGAGTTCCTCATCCTGGAGAGGCAGAATGTGAAGTCACACGGTGAACTTACTGGGGAGGATTTTTATAAGCAGAGTCTTTAGGGAGGGACATTCCATTCTGATTTATGAGCCACCTGCTAGCTTAGCCAGACAGGCAAGGCCATTTTCTCTTCTTATCAGCAACAGGAAAGGCCATCAGCATTTGAGTTCTGAATTCTTCATTCTTTGTTCTTCTCTTTGGCCCTCTTTGCCTAGACTAACATCTTAGACTCTTTTTAGTGATAAAACAGGTCAATGTATCTTTCTTTTGGCTGCTTCCTGCTGATCTGGGCGTTCAGAGCCTAGAGTGAGTCAGTCTGGGATTAGTGGGCAGGGGAGAATTAAGGTGGCCATCTTCTTGATCCTGTGAAGTAAAAAAGAGATGGAGTGATTAATAACAGTATGCTTATGATTAGAGAAGGAAAATCTAAGTTAGAAATGAGGTTTTTGGGCTGATGGAATGGCTTGAGGTGTTTTGATGGAGTGTGGTCTAGAGAAATTGATTGGTACTGCTGCTAGCAAAGGTTGTTGTAAAGAGGTACACAGGAAACAATGGGAAAGATTGGTTGCCATTTGACTTTGGTTAAGGAATAGTGACGTGCAGGTATCCTGGATAATTTGGAACCAAGCTGGAGCCTGCATAGTTTGTGGCTCTCCAGAAGCTTGTTGTATCATTGTCTGCTTAGCTTGGAGACTGTCACTGGAGACTTCTACTTGGGTATTGGCATTTAGAACATAGGAAATTTACTTAGTGAGGGGAATGTTTTTGACTTGAGAAAGGTGGTGTTAATGGGGGTCACCCATGACTTTAATAGCTGTGGAAATGGTCAGGGTGACTGCACAGGCCCTGCTTCAGTGTGGTAGGAGAGGCTAGGGTGCCTGCGGTTTGATGGGAATGGTGTTTTTGAAATGACTAGTGGCTTGGTCCAGACCTTTAGACGAGAGTTTGGGTATACAGCGGTGTGAGTGTTTTTCAGAGTAATTGTTTAAGGGGGGAGAGACAAGGCACGATGCCAAAAGAAGGGGCTTGGTGAGCAAGTTACAGTTTCGTAGAAGTAGTTGGCTGAACATCGATTGGAAGGAGTTTAGAAAGGAAGGTGAACAGAGTGTTGTTTAGATACAGGCTAAGGTACTAGGAAGTAAGTTAACCTAAGACTTGTGACTTGACAGTCAGTTTAGTAAGATAGGACTTAATGAGTCTGTATATGTGCTTTGTTTTGCCTGAAGACTGGGAGTGATATGGTATGTACAGCTTATAGCAGATAGATACTTGCTGGATGTCTTTGGAGATAAAGCTAGGACCATTTTGTATTGAAGTAGGAGGGCCAAACCTGGGGATGGTATGCTGCAGTGAGACTTAGTTAGGCTCAGAGTTTAATTTTGTTAGACTTAGAGTCAGGTTTCTTTCTTTCTCTTGATTTCTTTCTCTCTCTTTTTTTTGTGCCTCTCTTCCTTTCTCTCTCTTCTGACTTTCTCTTTCCTTTTCAAATCAGTCTCATGTTGTTTGGAAGGTTTTGTAATGGGAAGAGGCATACAACCCCTGTGAAGGGTGTTCCCAAGGACAGTTTAAAGAGGAACAGTTGGAAGGCAGATAAAGCTCATGGAGGAGTGTAAAGATTTTAGGTGATCTAGCACGTCCAACTGAGTGTGGAAACTACAGAACAGTGTCATTGATTTCACATGCAAGCAAGATTCTACTGAAGATTATCCAAAAACGATTAGAACAGCACATCAGCAGAGAATTGCTGGAAGTCCAGGCTGCGTTTAGAAGGGGTCGTGGTACTAGGGATATTGTTGCTGATGTTAGATGGATCTTGGCTGAAAGCAGAGAATACCAGAAGAATGTCTATCTGTGTTTCATTGATTATGCAAAGGCATTTGACTGTGTGGATCATAACAAACTGTGGCTGACTCTGAGAAGAATGGGAATCCCAGAACATTTAATTGTGCTAATGCAGTCAGAACAGAGCAGGGTAACACTGCATGGTTCAAAATAGGGAAAGGTGTACGCCAGGGATGCATCCTGTCTCCATACTTTTTCAACATGTATGCGGAGCAGATTATCCGAGAGGCTGGGCTCTATGAGAATTGTGGCATCAGGATTGGTGGAAGATCTATTAACAATCTGCGTTATGCAGATGACACAACCCTGCTTGCTGAAACTGAGGAGGACCTCATGCACTTGCTGCGAAGGGTCAAGGACTGCAGCCTTCAGTATGGACTGAGGCTCAATGTCAAGAAGACAAAGATTCTCACCACTGGACCAATTGGCAGCGTCAGGATGGATGGCGAAGAGATTGAGATTGTTCACAGCTTCAGTTTGCTCGGCTCCACAGTCAACACTCTTGGCACCATCAGTCAGGAAATCAAAAAGCGTATCGTGATGGGAAAGTCTGGTGTTAGGGACCTCTCTAAAATACTCAAGAGCAACGGTGTCTCTTTTGAGACTAAGGTGTGCCTGATACAGGCCATGGTCTTTGCAATCGCTTGTTATGCATCAGAGAGTTGGACAATGACTAGAGAGGACAGACAGAGAGTTGATGCCTTTGAGCTGGGGTGCTGGAGAAGAGTACTGAATGTACCATGACTGCCAGGAAAACAGATTCATCTTGGAGAGGATTAAACCAAGCTACTCCTTGGAGGCAAGGATTCTGGGGCTTCGTCTGACATACTTTGGACATGTTGCCAGGAGGGACGGGTCCCTGGAGAGGGACATCATGCTTGGGAGGGTGGAGGGACAGCGCAGGAGGGGAAGACCCTCTATGAGATGGATTGATTCGGTGACTGGGGTAATCGGGATGGGTGTGTCAGAGGCAGTGCGGTTGGCGCAGGACAGAGCAGGTTAGGCCAGAGAGTGAAAAACAGGTTACATAGACTTCCAATTTTGCAGTTTTCAGAGAATTTTAACATGGATTCAGGGCGGACTCTGAGGTAGAGAGAGACATGAAAGTGGACAGTAAAGAAAGAGTTTGAGTATAAACCCTTGACTATTTGCCATTTCAGTTCTTATGTTATGATGGATTGAACAAGCCAAAATAGGTTACACAATTTGAGGTTGCTTTAAATCAGGCGTGATGTTGAGGATGCACAATTTTTAGAGGAGAGCTGTCCCTAGGACAGGTCCCCAGATTAGGCATAATGCCAGAGGTTTGTGAGGAGTGCTGTCCCTGGGACAGATCCTCAGATTAGACATAATGCAAGATGTTTGCGAGTTTGGAGGAGGAGAACTGTCCCTGGGACAGGCCCTGCCTTTTTAATCAGGTAAAAGAGCTGAGGCAATCCCTGGGCACCTCAGGGATAGACTGGACCTTCACCTCAGAGGGGTGGTGTTTGCAGTTGAGAATTGAAGCCAGTGTTGGATGTATTCAGATTTAAATGGCAAATTGCCCTTCAATTTTTGGGACTAGAGTAATAGAACAGAGAGGAAAAAGGACAAAGCAGAGGAGGAGAAGTTTGGCCTAGTTCAGAGGGTATAAGCCAGACCAATAAAGAACTTGGGCAAGCTTTTGCTTTGCTTATGTAGCAATGAGGCCTTGAAAGCAGCTCCCTCTGAGAGAGCAGCTAAGTTATGGACATAATTTTTTACTGGGGGAGAAGAAAATATTAGGATTTTTTGTGGAAAAGTAGGTAGAGCTTCTGTATCTGCTAAAGAGAACATAAGGAAGGAAATGATCTGAAAGTAGATCTCAAAATCTGTGGCTTGAGAAGTCTTGTAGGGGCCTTCTTAAGGTAAGTTTCAGTGCTTTTTAGTGAGAAGAGCAGTTTAGGTATGTAATGGGTGTGAAGGTGGGTTCAAGAGGTTGAGCTAAAACACCAACAGCAATAATTAATTTTCATCAGTGAACAAGTTAAGTGTTTAGAGG